AGAGTGGAGTTTAGGAGAAGCCTGAAGTCAGCAAAAGAACACCCAGGCCCTTGAGTCAGACGCCAGGGAGACGGGAGGCTGCAAACGGCCAGCTGTGTCCATTCCCCATCCTCTAAGGTGTCAGTTATGGGAGTTAGAGTTTGGTGTCACTGAACATCGTCTCCCACAGTCTGTGATCATTAAGCCAGTAAAAGCCTGCGGCTGAAGAAAACAGCTGCTGGATAGGATCCTATTAATCATAACGCATCGCAGTGTTGTAGCACTTCCTCGAGTTGGCCAGGGCTAAGCGCCTCACATGCACACTCCCAGCGAATCTCCCCAGCACCCCAGGAGAGTGGTGGGATAATCCTCCTTTCACAGACGTGAAAACCGAGACCTGGGAAGGTTGCCTGCCCTGGATCACACAGTTTGGGAGCAGCAGAGCAGACGTTTGGTCCAGGTCTGCTTTTCTGTGAAGCATCTATTTTACTCCCCACTGAGATGTTCTACTTGTCATGGTGCCTGGACAGAGGAGGCATGCGTGCAGGCGGGCACTGTCGGGATATGATAAGTATTTGAATGAATTGGCAGTGGCTCTGAGAAAATGACTGCCTCCCTCATATCTGTGGCAAAAATATTATACCTCTGTCTTACTGGAGAAGTTTGAAAAGTTAAACGATCCTCATGGAAAGCTCCCTGGATTCGTTTCCCAGGGCTGCTGTAACAAAGTACCAAAACCTGGGTAGCTTAAAACAACAGAAAGGTATTGTCTCATAGTTCTGGAGGCTGGAACTCCAAAATCACAGTGTGGCAGGGCCAGGCTCTCTCTGACAACTTTAGGGGAGAATCCTTCCTTGTTCCTTCTAGCTGCTGGTGTTGACCAGAAGTCCTTGGCATCCCTTGATATATCCCTTGAAGATACATCACTCCAGTTATATGGCCATCATTTCCCTGTGGGTCTTCACTCCATCTTCCCTCTGTGTGTGTCTGGCTCTATGTCCAAATTTCCCCTTTTCATAGGGACATCAGTCATATTGGATTAGAACCCACCCTAACAACCTCATCTTAACTTGATTACCTCTGTAAAGACCCTATTTCCAAATAAGATCAGATTCTGAAGTACTCGGAGTTAGGACTTCAACATATCTTGTGGGGGGGAGGGCGCGAGGTGGGGGGAGACATCACTCAACCCATCACGTACCTCAACCGTTAATCCTCAGAGTTAAACTTTGATTCATTTACTGCCTTCCCCTGGTTCCCACCTATTCCCGATCTGAGAATAATTACATCCTCAAGTCCCCACAGTGCTGGAGATGGTCTGGATCTATGGTTGAGACACCCCTATCCCCAGCCATGACCCTCACCCCATCCAAGTGCCACCCCTATGGTACTGTCCACCGGATTTGTAAGAAGTGCAGAGAGGCGTCGTCTCTCCCAGCAACTGGCCAATTTCCCTTTCATTCTCACTTGCTAATGACATCTGTCAGCTCAAGTACTAACAGCCGGGTGCCTTTCTGTCATAATCAGCTCTTTGTCCGCTGCTTCCGGTTGGGTGTTTACAGGCAGCTGGGGACAGTCAGCTGTTTTCTACAATGCTATTGTGCGCTTAAGAAGAAAAACTTAAGTCTCTTAAATTAACCACCACCCGTCAACACGGAAGCCAGGATCATAGCCACTTTACCTCTCTTTACCCCACAGATGTATCCCTGAGGTAACAGAAGGCGAGACAGGGACTTCATAACCATACAGTTCATAACAACAGAGTTTGTACTGCTTCTAAGCACTTTCCCATCCACAATGTCTTGTAGATAAGCGGGGGAGGGGGAGCAGGAAACCCCACTGGGGTAGATGGGGTAGATGGTCAGCGTCCATGGTTAAATAACTGTTAAGTGGTCTCTTGGGCCAGGTTCCTTTCTATTTTGTCACATCTCTCCTGTCCACGAGGCTGAGAGAGAACTCTGTATTTAAACAAACGCCAAGTAAGGAGGACAGCTAACTTCCAAGACGGCCCATGTTCTTCTAGCCACACTAGCTTTCATTTGGAGGAATGCACCAAGTTCCATCGTGCCCCGGGGCCTTTGCACTTGGTGTTCCTGCTGCCTGGAATGCACCTCCCTCCAGTAGGCTCCCTTCAAGTATCAGCTCATGCGTCATAGCCTCCGAGAAGCATTTCTCTTTTTTTTTAACTTTACTCAGGACTAATTGACAGATACAATTGCATATATTTAAAGTGTACAATGTGATGATTTGTTATACATATACATTATAGGATGATTAACAAGATCGAGATTATTGACATATCCATCACCTCCCTCAGTTAACACACTTAATTGTGTGTGTGTGTGTGGCTAATAACTACTCTCAGCAACTTTCAAGCACACGATACTGTATTAACTATAGTCACCATGCTGTACATTAGATCCTGAGAAATTATTCTTCTTATAATTAAAAATTTGTACCTTTGACCTCTGGATGAATAAAGAAAATGTGCTATAAATATATATACACACATGCACGATGGAATATTATTCAGCCAATAAAGAGAAAGAAATCCTGCCATTGGCACCAACATGGATATACCTGGAGGGCATTATGCTAAGTGAAATAAGCCATCAGACAGAGAAAGACAGATACTGTATGATATCACTTATATGGGAATCTAAACACACACACACACATTATTTCACAGAAATAGATAACTGAGTAGTGGTTGCCAGGGGCTGGGGGAGGAGGAAATGGGGTGATGTAAGTCAAAGACTATACATTTCCAGTTATCAGAGAAGCATTTATTGATGCCTCAGGCTGGGTCACCTCTCTCATCACATACTCTCATAGAACTCTCCACCTCCCCCAAATGTTTGTCACAAGCAGAATTAGTTGATTTACCATCTGATTATATATTTAGCAGCATCTTCTCTGGGAGACAAAGGACAGGAACCAAGGATATCTTGTTCATTCCTAATCCCCAATCCCCCTTGGTCATTCAGATTTTTTAAACAAAAACCACCCTTAAAAATGTATTTACAGGGCTTCCCTGGTGGCGCAGTGGTTAAGAATCCACCTGCCAATGCAGGGGACACAGGTTCAAGCCCTGGTCCAGGAAGACCCCACATGCCATGGAGCAACTAAGCCCATGCGCCACAACTACTGAACCTGTGCTCTAGAGCCCACGAGCCACAACTACTGAGCCTGCATGCTACGACTACTGAAGCCCGCGCGCCTAGAGCCCATGCTCTGCAACAAGATAAGCCACCGCAGTGAGAAGCCCTCACACCACAACGAAGAGTAGCCCCTGCTCGCCGCAACTAGAGAAAGCCCATGTGCAGCAACGAAGACCCAATGCAGCCAAAAATAAATAAATAAAATAAATTTATTTTTTAAAAATGTATTTACAGACATTTACTCGGCCACAGGTTATACTTGATATTGCAAGAATCCGCCCAATCCCCCGATCCCCCACTCCTATACCTGCCTCAGTAAATATCTATCAAATGAGTGAACGAAGGTTTTCAACCCTATGAATTATCCCCAGCCAACAAAGCTACCCCTTTCTCTGTACCACTCCCCTACTCCCAAGCACTTTGTTGGTAACTAGAATAACTAAGGTGACAGTACACAAATTCGACAACTTTTTGAGACACTCACATATGTGGTCTACACATTAAACAAAATGCTTGAAATTGGGACCAGCAGAAAAGTCTGTGTCACAAAAGGGCTGTAATCTATCACGTATGACAATGGGTTGTAATTCGTGTTTTATCTGTCTCTTCCTCCAGATCATGAACTCCTTGAGGACAGTGACCATGTACTACTCCTCTGTTTCCAGGACACAGCACAGGAAACAAAGGTTTGTGGAATGAATGAATCAATGAATAAGTAAGCACACTGAGTAGTTAAAGAAGAAAATACTTTGCAGTGTCAGCAAACATTGCCCAATAAATCGTCTTGGTAAGATTGGGTTTCTTTTTATTTATTTTTATTCTTTTTTTTTGAATTTTTTTTTATACAGCAGGTTCTTATTAGTTATCTATTTTATACATATTAGTGTATATGTGTTAATCCCAATCTCCCAATTCATCCCATCACCACCGGCCACTTTCCCCCTTGGTGTCCATACATTTGTTCTCCACATCTGTGTCTCTACTTCTGCCCTGCAAACCGGTTCATCTGTACCATTTTTCTAGATTCCACATATATGTGTTAATATACAATATTTGTTTTTCTCTTTCTGACTTACTTCACTCTGGATGACAGTCTCTAGGTCCATTCACGTCTCTACAAATGACCCAATTTTGTTCCTTTTTATGGCTGAGTAATATTCCATTGTACATATGTACCACATGTTCTTTATCAATTCATCTGTCGATGGACATTTAGGTTGCTTCCATGACCTGGCTATTGTAAATAGTGCTGCAATAAACATTGGGGTGCATGTGTCTTTTTGAATTATGGTTTTATCTGGGTATATGCCCAGTATGGGTTTCTTCTTAATATCAGAATTTTCTTTCATAAGAAACCATTTGAGGGACTTCCCTGACAGTCCAGTGGTTAAGACTTTGCCTTCCAATGCTGGGGGTGCGGGTTCGATCCCTGGTCCGGGAGCTAAGATCTCATATGCCTTGCAGCCAAAAAACCAAAACATAAAACAGAAGCAATATTGTAACAAATTCAATAAAGACTTTAAAAATGGTCCACATCAAAAAAAAAAAAAAGCTTAAAAAGAAACCACTTGACTCCATGTTAGAATGAAGAATTTTCTACTCTATTTTCCATGAAGACTTTTTCATAGCCTTACAAATTGGGGAGCCCCTTGTGCTATTTTCCATTCTGATCAGCCACAAACCGTATCAGCACTTTAAACCCAAAACTCGCACTATAGGTAGAAATATGCAGCCTCTGACGACGGATCCATTATTCCTGGCCAAAACTGTTCATGATATTTAGGAATAAACCTGGGAGGTAACCCAAAATAGAGCAACATGAGGTCTTAGAAAGAGGAGACATTTTGAAGTCAGACTGACCTGGCTCTTTTGGGGGACCAACACTCCTCATAGTTAATTCAGCATTGAATCACCTGGTGGGGGGAGGAGGGAAGGTCTTGTTAATATTCAGATTGATTCTCTAGTTCTAAGGTGGGGTCTGTTAAAAAAGTGAACAGATAAGCAAGCCAAAAACCTCATAAACAGGCAACCAAACTTAATCCAAAGCTTCCTATTTCACATGCATGGTATTCTCAAGCCTGAGACTTTGCACTGTGTTTTACATCACATAAACAATCAGAGCTGACATTTCTTTTTTTTTTTTTTTTACACAATCTTTATAGATAATTTATTTTAGTTTCCTTAATAGGGAAGAAATTAAAGGGACAGAGCTAGGGAGTCTCAGAAATCACATTTCTAAACCTTGGTTATAGAAACATCATTGTTATTATTATTTTTTAACATCTTTATTGGAGTATAATTGCTTTACAATGGTGTATTAGTTTCTGCTTTATAACAAAGTGAATCACTTATACATATACATATATGTTCCCATATCATGCGAGGAAGGAAGAACAAGGCTGGGACTTGACTGTGAATGAGGTGTGGGGAAAACATTAGGCTCCCTGGCTGGGCGTTTAAGACCGTTCATGATGTGACCTGCACTTGATCCTCTGGCCGCCCCTCTCACCACAGCCGCCTCACACCATGCTCAGTCCATGCCACACTACTTCCTGGTCCTGAACAATCTGTTCTCTCTGCACTGCCCACCCCCACAAAAAAGGGCCTTTGCACATGCCACTCCCATCACTGATTTTTTTTCCTCACCCACCCAGGATATAAACACTTGCCCATCTTTCAAGACTTACCTCAAGCACCACTTCACCTATTAAGTCTTCCCTGATTCCCCGACATGAGATGACCTTTCCCTGCTCTGGCCTGCCCCACCATACCCGCTACAGATTGCGATAGCTTATATTTGTTTATAATCCATTTGTATGTCTGTTTCTTGCTCCTAGACTGAGCTCTCTGAAGTAGGCACTGTGTCCTGTGTCTGCAGAGGCCACACCTCTATCTTAGCAGGTCTTAGTCTTTGTGGAATGAATAAATGAATGAATGAAGAATGAATGAATCTTTGCAGCAACACTACCTCGATGCCTATCACCGCCCTGATCACACTAAGTTGCAATTTTTTGCTTATATGTCTATTTCCCCGTGAAACTGTGAGCTTCTTGAAGACGGTCCCAGACCCTGCCAATACTAATCTTCATCACCTGTCAATGCTCAATAAATATTTGTTTAATGAATATAAGTTGCTTTGGATCGAAGTCAGATACAGCTCCTTCAGAACAGAAAAGATAAATGCACGATGATAAAGATTTTAAAGGGCTGTCAAGTTCATGTGTTGATTTATGGAGCAAATTAATACGACAGCATCAACGCTTCCAGCCCTCCCCAATCAGTTTCAGCAATTATGTGTACCCAGGGCAGGGCGCAGCTGTTTGTGAGATGTGACACAAGAGATGTCTCCCCTGGTTTGCTGAAAGGTCTTCAACATATTTTTAGTTGACAAACAACCATGTGTTACTCATCAGACATCCCATTAAACCAAATTGTACAACTTGTTAGACAGTTTCCAATATTAATTGTGAAGGCTCTGTACATGACTTCAGTCCTGCTGGGTACTGAGCCTACCCGAAAGCCAGGAAAGGGGTGTGTGTGTGTGTGTGTGTGTGTGTGTGTGTGTGTGTGTGTGTGTG